GGGGCTCCGTGTCGGGGATCTGGGTCGTGGAGACGGGCTGAAAGACCCGGCTCGGTGGGGGGGGGAGAGCAGACAGCCCAAGAAGGGCCTCCCGTCAGTGCGCGGGGGGGGGGCTGCACAAGGTTTGAGCTGCAGAGCTTCAGTCGGGTGCTGAGCCACTGTCACCTTCTCAGGGGTTTGTGGGTAAACGATGGGAAAGCAGACCACTGGGATAGACGAAGCTGGAGGAGGGTACAGCTGACCTACAATGAGGCTACACGTGTGGTTAGAGGTGTTAATTTTCGCAGTTTTTCGTCTTGAAATTCAGTTGAGGATTAAGAATCTGCACTCCGCTGGCTGTTACCATTTTTCTAACCTCGGAATAGAATACCAGAACTTGTGTTGTGAGCGCAGACGTCCGAATCTCGGCTTATTGGAGCTGCTCTGCAGGCTGCCCACCTGTTTCATGGCCTCTAATTACAAGGTTTGCAGGAAGCGGCCTGCAGTGTTCAATCATGGCCACATCGGCTTGTCTTATCAGAGGCAGGAGATCACAAATCCCCCTACAGAGAAATTTTCTTCTTTTTACCGTCTGGTGCTTCCCTGATAAGGTTACAGAGACGCTGTAGGTTTTTTTTTTGTCCTCTGCAAGTCATGACAATACTGTTTTAAAAAAAAAAACCGTTGGAAAACAGCCATTTCCTTTCATCCTTTTAAACTTTTTAAAGCAGTTTGTCATTGGACCTCTGAGTGAAGTGAGAAACTCCAGATGTGAATGAGCTCCATGTTTAAATCATTATCTCGAGATCAAGGATGCTGAAAAGCCCTTGAAAATCTACCATGTTGATTGAAAGAAAAGGCACACTGTTTTAAATGCAGCGCATTGCTTCTTCTGTGTACATTATTTATTTGCAGTCTCGTTACTGCTTATAAGTTAATTGCTCCCCGATATGAACTGGGAAAGTATTCCTCAAAGTGACTAGGAAACCGGAGTTTTCATCTCGAAGAAGCACATTTCTTTCCTGGATTTTTAGTAAGCCAGTAATCCATTTTGAGGCTTAAACAAATGTGCCCTTTGAAATCTGTGTTTTTTTTCGAAGTAGCTGTGATTAGTATTGGGGCGCCTCCTCATTTCCTGCTCTGAAATGTACACAAGACAATCCATTCAGCGACCCAGTTGCTCGAACCCGAGACCGGCTGCCAGCTTTCAGAGCTTATTCAAGGCGAAGGGCGAGTCGGGTGTATCCAGTCCCGTTAGGGGAGCCTGAGTTCCTCCTCTTAACGGGTCGAGCGTGGTTTTCATCCCAGGTCCTGGAAGAAGATGCTCCCGGGGGTCCCTGGACTTGGGTGCAGTTCGCATGTGCACCCCAGTTCTGAAAAGTGCCCTCTTGAGCATCAAGCAAGCCAGTGTCCTCTGAACAGCCGAGCGGATTCTGACCCGCTGTATGATGGAGATTGAATGGAATGACATCAGGCCCGCAAGGGGCTAATAATATCCTTACACTTATATAGCATTTTTCTGGACGCTCCACTCAAAGCGCTTTACAGATAATGGGGATCCCCTCCACCACCACCAGTGTGCAGCCCCACCTGGATGATGCTCCAGTACACTCCCCACACACCAGCTCTCAGTGGGGAGGAGAACCGAGTGATGAAGCCAGTTCAGAGATGGGGGGTTATTAGGGGGTCACGATTAGTAAAGGCCAGGGGGGACATTTGGATAAAAACATGTTGAAACTTCCTATGAACAGGATGTAGAGAAGACTCCCTTTGCAGAGAGTTTTAACCTGTGCCATCATTAGTAGGCCTGCTGTCTGTTGAAAAGCCATCCCCTTTTTGAGAGTGAGACAATTCTCCAAGCATATTGCATTTCATTGCAGTTTGTACACGAACCTGACAGCTGCTCTGTGATGGGAGTCTGGTCCGTTTCCTTGGGCCGGCTGGTCTGCCGATATCGTACTGCCCCGGGTGGGCGGTGAACTCTGTCAGTGGTCAAGAGGGGACGCAATTTTAGGTGGGGACGTTAGTGCAGAGCTGGTCCTGTCCTGGTTTCGCCAAGGGATCGTTGAGAGCAAACTGGGTTTTGTTAGTCCCCGGCCCCGCCAGTCTCCTCCCACGTCATCGCCGTGTGCTGTGCTCGAACCCGCTGCCGTTCCCCTTTAAGCCGGCTTCGTTGGCCAGTCGTAAGGGTGTCCTGGCTGCGGTCTCGATGGGAGCCCTGAAATCCCGAGGATGGGGTGCAGTTTGTCCCAAAGCTTCCCCATCAGTGAGCTGAGGTCCGCTCTAGACCGCTGACCCGTCTCGTCTTGGTTCCGACGCTCGATCCCGCAGGAAAGCTCGAGCGGCCGTTTTCCTTTTTGCAATTTTATCGAATGTTTTTATTTCTTCCCAGCAGTTTGAATCAAGGGCAGTGTTTATTTTTCCTCGAGCCTAGGCCCTGAAGAGCTGCAGAACGGGTTACTCTTCAGTCGCGGCTTTGGCGGAGAAGTCCCCGCGCGGGCCTGAAACACGCGTTGCGTGAGGGTCTCCACCGCAGGCAGGGTGTAACTCGGATTGCCCCCCCCAGTCCTCTCGGCACGAGCCCGGGAGCAGCGCGGACAGCAGACCGGAGCGAAGGACTCCAAGAGTCTGGATGGGCTGGCAGCCGTCCGCGCTGGGGGAGGGGGGGTGGAGGTTTTTTTTTGAACGCAACCCCCTGCTTCTGTTGCCTTATCTGCTGGTGGAAGCGCCGCCCCCCCCCCTTGCACCCGGCTCTGAAACGGGCTGGTATGTCAGGAGATGGTTGAGTGAGGAGATCAAAGATAACAGCAGCTAGCGAGGGGGGGTCTGACGAGCCCAGTTGGTTGAGTCTGGGGGGCGCGGTGGTGTGTGTGTGGGGGGAGGGAGCCGCCAGAGAGCCCTTCCAAAAGTCACCTCAACAGAGTGTTGCCGAAGCGTTGAAGAGGCTGACCGGGCCCTTCTCTCTGCTCTGCCCGGACGCCTGCTCCACCAGCCCTCTGCTTGATTCACTCTGTGTTTGCAGAGGCATCCCTGATGTTGGCTTCCTGCCTGTAAAGTTTGTAAGTGTTGTAAGTGTTAAGGTGGTTGTTCCAGAACTTTCCCCATGTCTCCCACCGGGCCCCGTCTGTGCGGCGTTACCCCCTTGAACAGCCCGCGCTGTCGGGGCGCCCTGCCTTTTCTGTCGATCTGACGCGCACCGTCTGCTGCGAGAACCTCCACGTGTCTGTGGAGTCTTGGGGCGCGGCTACACCAACACTCCTGATGACCCCCCTCGCCTCCAGTCTTGGGGTGCAGCCGGACCACCTCTCCTGACCCGCTCGCCTCTCTCTCTCTCTCCCTCCTCCCCCCACCCACCCTTGCAGGAGCTGAAACTGCCGGCGTACCGAGCCCACTCCCCGCAGATCGGGATGCGGCGCTACTTCGCCGACCTGCTGGCCATCCTCAGCAACCGCTACCAGCTGTGCCCCACGGCGCGCCACCTGGCCGTCTACCTGCTGGACCTGTTCATGGACCACTACGACGTGGCGGTCAAGCAGCTGTACGTCATCGCGCTGTCCTGCCTGCTCCTCGCCAGTAAGTGGGGGGGGGAGGGGGGTTCTCTCGTCTCGGGAAGCATGGCGCCAGTTGGATCGATCGTTCCGAAATCGGTTGAGCCTGACGTTTTTCCATAAGGTTTCTTGCGTTGGTACAGTTGGGTGTCTTATTGATGTTTTAAAAAAAAATGAAGTACTGTGGCTGAAGGGTGAGATGGCTGTGCTGCTTCTGGGATTTGAACCCGCAGCCACAAACGTGTCCAGAACCCTCACCCCCGTGGTGCTACAGCTGTGTTGGGAGGGAGGTCGGTCCGTAGATCCTTACTCTTTCTGGAGAAGCGCTGCTGTGCAGTACAGCATTCTTGCTTATGTCCTATTTCGTTTTGTGCAGTTGCTCATCAGCAAGGAGAGCTGTAGATTGGGGGTGGAGAGCTCTTGAGTGCAGTGTGTACAGTGGCGCCGTCTGACGAGTTGAAGTGCAGAGCTGGTCTTAAAGTCCTGCAGGAACGGACTTGTCTGGTCAGCTCGTCTAGAGCACGCGCCGCTTTAGTCTCTCTTAACGCTGCCCTGCTGCAGGGTGTCTTAGCTTTTGCGAGTTGCTGCACTGTGTATGTGGCTGGACTTCCCAAAAACAGAAAGAGTAGGCCTCCAAAAAGGCTCAGCTGGTAAAGTTGCTCACCTGATCCCAGGTTCGAGCCTGACTCAAGTCACTAGGCTGACTCTGACTGGGGTTCCCCACGTCAAGTGGCATGCAGCTGTCCCCCGAGTGCTGTTAAGGAATCTCTGTGCTGTCAGAAACACAGCGCCCCCATGTGGCAGGCCAGGGGCTTGCCTCTCCTCTGGTGGGGGGGCTGCGCTGCCTGTGACTTCTTAATAAAACAAGAGGCTGGAAGGCGGGCAGGGCAGAGCAATCGCACGTCCCATGCGTCTCGGGGTTTGTCACTCTGAGCCCAGGCGTCCGAAACACAAACGTCGTCTCCCCTGGATCTTCCAGATGGGGTGTTGGTCAAAAGTCTGTTCTGAGCTTTTTCAGAAAATACATCTCAGTGTGGCGGTGGACAAGGAGTCCCAGGATAGTGTCAATTCTGGCCTTTGTCCACACACAGTGGTGTGTAGGAGCCAGTTGGCCCGTTCAACAATAATTGCTGTCTTGGCATTTTGCAGTAGTCGTTCGCTGCATCCCTTGCCAGCTTATCTGACCCTCTGGTTTGCCCGAGTCTGAGATGTTCCTCTTCTCCGGGACGCCAGGAGCTCGTCAGTGTCGCCTTGTCGGTGGGC